GCTGTTCTAATCATTTTTGGATAATCTTCAGTCGAATCTTGCTTGCATGTGAAATCAATTACACTTAGCTTAACTCCCAATTCGTTGTGAAATTTTTCTCAGATTATATACTTTCCATTTGAAAATATTTCAACTCCCACAACAAGATAAAGGTAAACAATCCAATAGAAAAATGGGCACAGGATTATCAACAGACACTTCACCATAGAAGACATTCAGTCAGATGGCCAACAAACAAATGAAGAAATGTTCAAAATCCCTAGCTCTAAGAGAGATGCAAATCAAAACAACTATGAAATATCATCTCATCCCAGTTCAGAATAGCAAAATTTAACAGAACAGCAATCAACAAATGCTGGAGAGGTTGTGGAGAAACTGGAACCCTTATTTACTGTGGAAAGCTATGTGGCACTTTCTCAAAACGTTGCAAATAGATATACCATTTGACCTAGCAATTCCACTACTGGAAATATACCCCAAAGAGACCATAACTGCCACCCAAGCAGATATATGCACATCCATGTTTATCGTGGCTTTGTTCACAATAGCAAAGAGTTGGAAACAACCTAAGCGCCCATCAACAAATGAATGGATAGAGAAGCTGTGGTATATTCACACAATGGAATACTAAGCATCACTGAGAAACAAGAAACTCATAAAAATAATACAAAATGAGTGATGCTGAAGGACATTATGCTGAGTGAAAGATCTCAGTCACAAAAGGACAAATACTGCATGGTGCCACTGTTATAAAATAGGGGTTCGGGGGAGACTGAGAAAGATGGGATAAATAATGTATACTGCATTGAAACAGATGAGGAAGAAAACTGTTTTAAAGGTATATGTGGTTAGGTATTTTTGTCATGACAGGAGTCCAAGCGAAGGCTGCATAGTGGAGTGGACCTGGGGGGAGGGATTGTAAAACAATGAAAGAATTTTTCTTTTTCTTTGCAAAGAGAAGAGTTTACTGGGGGAGGGGTGGGCAAGGAGGAGAGTGCAACAGTGAATGAATGGAAATCCAAAGTCTGTAAATTTTCATCAAAAATTAATAAAAAAAATTATAAAAAATAAAAATATTTCAACTCTTTTTATCTAAGTGAAAATAATCTTAACCACCACCACCAGCAGCAGCACCATCATCCTCAGGTATAAGTCTTGATCCCTTCAAAATAGAGTTGTTGTTGTTGTTGTTATGTGCCGTCGAGTCGTTTCCGACTCATAGCGACCCTATGCACAACAGCCCTAAACCCTGCTCTATCCGGCGCCAACCGCACCGCCTCTGACACACCCATCCTGATTACCCCAGTCACCGAATCAATCCATCTCATAGAGGGTCTTCCCCTCCTGCGTTGTCCCTCCACCCTCCCAAGCATGATGTCCCTCTCCAAGGACCCGACCCTCCTGGCAACATGTCCAAAGTATGTCAGACGAAGTCCCAGAATCCTTGCATCCAAGGAGTAGCTTGGTTTAATCCTCCCCAAGGTGAATCTGTTTGTTTTCCTGGCAGTCCATGGTACATTCAGTACCCTTCTCCAGCACCACAGCTCAAAAGCATCCACTCTCCTTCTGTCCTCCCTAGTCATTGTCCAACTCTCTGATGCATAACAAGCGATTGCAAATACCATGGCCTGTATCAGGCGCACCTTAGTCTCCAGAGAGACACTGTTGCTCCTGAGTACCTTAGAGAGGTCCCTAACAGCAGACTTTCCCATCGTGATACGCTTTTTGATTTCCTGACTGCTGGTGCCAAGAGTGTTGACTGTGGAGCCGAGCAAACTGAAGCTGTGAACACTCTCAATCTCTTCGTCATCCTTCCTGATGCTGCCAATTGGTCCAGTGGTGAGAATCTTTGTCTTCTTGACATTGAGCCTCAGTCCATACTGAAGGCTGCAGTCCTTGACCCTTCGCAGCAAGTGCATGAGAGCTTGAGCTAATTTTTTTTTTAAAAAGGGTTAGAACATAGATGAATGCAAAATATTAATGAAAATCTCACTATTATTTGAGCTTCCTTTTCTGGCACCACTCCTCCCCTCCTCCCTTTTGGTGCTGAAACTGGCAGGAAGAAGTAGACATTAAGAAGAGGGGTACTGAAGTTTCAGAGCCTATAAAAGGATGAGACCATTTCTCAAGAAGTGTAGATGAACGGTAGCCCCAAGAAAATACGCTGTTCTTTCCTGTGATTGTTGCTGTGTACCATAGAGTGACTCAGACTCATAGTGATCCCATGTGACAGAATGGAACGGCTCCATTTGGTTTCCCAGGCTGTAGTCGGTAAGACTGCAGATCGCCAGGTCTTTATCTTACTTCAAAGAGGTTGCAACCATGGACATTATGCTTAACAGACAGGCAGGCGTTTGACTTTTGAGCCACCAAAGGCCCCTTTCCTGTAATTAGAGAAAGGCTATTTCAAACTCCTGGGAGGCAAGGCCTCTTCTGGTCGTTGGTATTGTTAAGGAGGAAAAGAATGACAGGGCCCCTGGGAAGGGGGAAGAGGTATGGGTACGGGGCAAGCTGGCGCCTGTCGCACTGCTTGTGGGAGTGGAAATTTGGGGCCAGAGCTCACTGGTGACGTGGTCATCACGTGACCCTGGGTTGCTGCTTAGGGCCGAAGTCCTGCTAGTCGTCTCCGTCTGGGTATTAGCCCCCTCTTACTCTGCAGACCCGGTGAAGGAAGAAAAAGGAAACTCGCCAGGACTGTGCAGGTAGGTATGAAGGTGGGCGCTGCTTGAGGGGGATGAAGATGGTGGAAGGCTGAGAGTGCCTCGGATCAATGTCCTGCAGCCAGATCAGGCTGTGTCCCCTCCTAGCCTACTTTCTGAATATTCCTCCCCCCTCTTGTTCTCTGCCCCTTTCTCTTCTAAAACTGGAGGCGTACTGTTGGGAACCGCGATGAGGGAAGATGAACGGTGGTTCCGGAACTCAGAGGTAAAAAAGGTTTCGCACACCTGGATTTCTTTTCCCGTGTCTCTTGTCCCTGGTGCTAGTCTGTCCGCCAAGCAGCCTGGCTCTCAGTCTCCTCTGTCTCCTGTCTTTCTGCAGATTTAGAGAATTGTTGGTCCGTAGGTCGCGGCTCCAGTAGCGGCAAGGGAAGGAGCAAACTGCCCTGGGAGCCATACAGGTCGGTGTTAAGGGAGGATTAGGCCTGGCCCCTGGGTGGGGGTGATTGTGACGGTGGCGGGTCTGAGATCTGTGCCGGCCAGGTTCGCGTCGCCCTCTCCTGGCCCCTTCTTTTTCCACACACCCACCCATTTCGGTGCAAGGAAAGGGGTGTGGCGGTCTTTGCAGGGGAAATGGCGGATGATGAGGGGGACCAGGGAAGTGCGTTAATAAAGTCAGGAGAGTTTGAAAGATTTTAAACTTGGAGTCAATAATTTAGAAAAAGCAGGTTTTCGGAGGCATTGGCCTTCTGTACTGATGCGGTCATTGCACTTTCCGTCCCCTCTTTGGTCTTTCCTTGTGTCCTACCGAACTGCCCATGAATGGTGAGCATCAGCAATCGAAAACAAGAGGGGAATATGAAGGAATTTGGTCGATTTTGGTAGAACTTTGTGGGTGAAATCGCCTGTGGATCTTTGGAAATGAGAATATGGTGGAGGAGGAAACTCACTACTTGAGGATTAGCCTTTCTTCTGGTCACCTTCCGGATGACCATCTCTTGAGTATTGAAAGTGAAATAGCGGGCCCTGGGGACAAATAGAGGAATGGCAGAAAGGTGCAAAGAAATAATTTACTGATAACTTTTCTTTCTCATCCACAATTCAACTACCTTTCTATTTGCTTGGTGAGGCACAAATCTTAGCCCAAAGTCATATTTTTTTTTCCACCCACAGTTTCAGCACAGAAAACTGAAAGAACCTAAAAGGCTGAAGACTACAACTCTCCAACACCACTCGTTTTTGCTCTAGGATCTCTTCCAACTGAGCAAACTGTTCGTCCCAAGGCTTGCATAGACTTAACTATGGGTCGGGCTCGGGAAGTAGGATGGATGGCAGCAGGACTAATGATTGGGGCTGGTGCCTGTTACTGTGTTTACAAACTGACCATAGGAAGAGAAGACAGTGACAACTTGGAAGAGGAGGAAGAGGAAGAGGAAGAAGAAGAATGGGATGACAGTGAAGACCTGGATGAAGAAGATCCTGAGATGTGGTTTGATTTCACAACTATGTCTCGGCCCTGGAAGGATGATGGAGATTGGACAAAGCCTGGGGCTCCAGGTGACAACAAGAACAGGAATTCAGGAGGGGGAAAGGCCAATAGAGGACACTTGTCAAAACATCGTCCATTCCCCTACATACATAAAACCACTAGTAGCGCTCAAAGCTTTATTGATCTGACCAAGAAACCTTTGATTCAGGTGAAAGTGAGGTCTCAACCCAAGGATGCTGGCTTGTACATTATCAGTGATCACTTAGCCAGCCTCTCTATGCTTGGAAACATGGTCTCCACTCAAGATCCCACAGTTAAGGTGAAGGCCATCTGCATTATGGGTGGCTTGAATATGAGTGCTGAAATTGAGGGCCAGATTAAGATGTCCATTAACAGAGTGTATCTCGATTCTGTGTCCCATTGCTGCAACTCATTTCTGCAGCAGGCAGGATTAAATTTGCTAATAAGCATGACAGTTATTCATCATATGCTTGCCAAGTCTGTCTTGAGTTTGAAATTTCCTCTGAAATCAGAGGGAAGTAGATGCGCTACGGCCCGGGTTTGGAAGCTGCTAGCAGGTTTGCCCGAAAAGCCAGCTTTGGCAAGAGACTTGCTCAGGGCCCACTTGCTGCTGTCATTCATGCCCCCCTTTGCCAGAAAGGGGAACAGGGAAATTATCTTGGATTCCCTGGCCCCTTAAGTGGCCATCTCAAACAGAAAGGGATAAAATTCTCCCAAAAACCATCTGGGGAACACTCATCTGTGTTCTCATTCAAGGAGTCTACAGTGGGTGCTATGGGAGATCCAGCCTTAGTCAATCGCCACATTATTGGGTGAAAGTTACAGTTGCTACATCAGGGACCACACTCTCCCTGGCAAGCAGGGATGCTCCCAGAGCTTGGAGTAACTTTGGTTTTGCAGTCTGCAAGCAGTGTGCATTGCAAGCCCTTCCCTTCAGCCTTCTAGTGGTGAGGGGTTCATTGCAGCTGGCACCCTTGGGGAAGAAACACCCTGTTGCAGCATCACAGAGTGATCTTGTGGCCTGTGTTGGCCTCCTTCCTGTATAAACCCAACCGTTCATTCTGTGGACATATAAAAGCTTGTGCTGTAAACATATTTATTGCTGCTTAGGTTGAAATATCTTTTGTTTAAAAGCTTACTCTTTCCTCTATGCAAGGTTACCATTCATCTAAAACCTATTCATACACTGTCCACCCATCAAATGTACTGACTTTCCTCACTCACTCAAGTCTTCATCTTTGTGTATCATCAATAAAGTCATTTTCCTTGATTGGCACAAAAAGAGGCCTGACCCTTGTCCTTATGTTGACAGTCTGCATGAAGAGGAAAAAGTCACACACCAAAAGCTACCCAAATGGGCCTTTGACCCCCTGTTGACTGCACACCTACCACTGAGCAATATGAGCCAGAGGCTGACATAGGCTGCTGTGCTCCGAGAAAGCTTCAAGAAGGAGAGGGGAGAGTGGCCAGGAATGGGAGGTTGAGGATGGAGTGTGGAGAGGACTGAAAGGGAAAACAGCTAGGAAGCAACTGGCACAGTTCCTGGTGCAGGGCCCTTCCTCCAGCACAGTGAATGCCCCTCTTTCCTCCTTACACTGCTGGTCTAGAGAAAAAGGTCAGTAATTTGGGGTTGTTTCCTCTTCTTGGGTGAAGTGGTAGAAATGAGGGAGGCACCCTGCATGTGTTTGTGTGCTCCTTTTCCATCAATAATGGCTGCCTTTGGCTGAGTTCCCACTCGGTATAGTTCTAGTGCTCCTGCAGAACAACTGTTAAACCCACTCTTATTTGGTCATCTTCTCACACCCATAAATACAAATTCCTGGCATAATGTGTAAGGTAGGGAGCTCTGGTGGCCTAATGATAAGGAACTATGCTATAATATCAAATGCACACAGTTCTAATCCACCAGGTGCTCTGAGAGAGAAAGATAGACAATCTCCTTCTGTGTAACTTACTGTACTGTCTCTGAAAACCTACTGGAGGGTAAGCTATGTGTTGGTTCCAACTCAAAGGCAACAACACAATAACAATGTGAAGAGTTGGTCTCTGCTACTTTGAGGGCACTGCCTTTCTATTTGATTTTATACATCTTTGATGGGATTTGAGGAGTGACCATAGAATGGCTCACTTCTCTTGGGAATGGTAGGACAGATGCTTACAGTGATTGGCATCCTGTAGCCGGTTCCTCCACCAAGGAGACACTTTTAGAGTGCCACATGTCACAGATCTTACCAAGATAATTTGTGTGCTGCAGTACACATCATATTCTCAGAAGAAAGGAAAAAGTATGCACTGATTCCTTCCATGGGTCTCTGTAGCTCATTCCAAAATCAAAGCTTCATAGGTCTTCACAGCTCATTCTCCACTTCACAGCTCATTCCACCTCGCATACAGTTCCTTCATTTATTTTGTCCATTAGACCTTGCTTTGTCAGTGCTACTCAGCATCTTTTATCTCACCATAAATTGATACTCACCTCCTCACTCCTCTGCACAGCAGCCAGCAAGTGCCTATATGAGTACTGCTACAATTGCCCACAATTTTCAAGAGACTTGACACTTTAATGCCACAGTTGACTCATGCCACTGGGAGGGTCCATATCTCCAACTACTCTTCATTAGGAATACTTGTAGTAGCAAAATGTCTCCTTAGTGCTATCTTGGCCCTGTCAAAACTTTGTTTTAAAAACAAAACAAAACAAAACAACAACTTTCTTTAGTATTCTATGGCCCTGCTTTCCTCACAACAGTCTCTGAATCTGAAAGCACATGTTTTCTGTTTCACCCTTCATTCCTTTGATTGTTGTGTCACATATGTGTCTATTTCCCTGTGGATTGTATTAAAAGGGAGCATTCTTGCAGTGCAGTACCTGGTTAAAACTTTTAAAGACTCGAAGCACTATAAAGATGGTCATGCCCCATCCCACATCTAATGACTTTTTTTAAAGCACTAAACCATCATTCATAAAGCTTATCTTTATGTTATAATTAAAAAAATTTTTCTATGGTTCTCTAAAATGCTTTGATAAAGTCACCAAATGTGAACTTGTCACTTTCTATGTGAAGGTGCCTTGTCAGTGGCACCCAACCTAGGCTGTCATTTGTGTAATCTGAGACTGTACTCCAGCTCTGGAAAGGGCTCTGGTTTTGCCTAGCCTCTTATTCATCTCAATAATATATTTACACTGGCTTACACACTAAATCCCAGTCCTCTCCTTAGTCTGTTACCTCTTGTGGGGATCTTGTGGTTCAAAATTCTTCAAATCCAGTGAGTGCATCCAAGGCTGCAGATGTCCAGCTTCCCAGCTGATATATCCATGTTCATCAGGCCCTTATAAATCACTCTTAAAGCAAATGCAACCATAGTCCCTTTACTTTTAAATGCTACACAACACAGATCACCAAGACAATTTGTATGCTGCAGTATCATTTAGCTAAGAGTTTGAAAGCTATGGTGAAAATTTGCACCTTAGTCCCCATTAGGAGCCCCTGATTGGTCTAAGATGCAGATAGTGTTGCACCAGAGTTATGCATAGCAAGGATCAGTTCCTTGTCCTTTGCACATGCTGCATATACCATCTCATAGTCTGTCATTTCTTTCTTCACTTTGTCCATGGCTTCCCTTTTCATCTTGAAGGTCCATCTTTCCTTGGCTGCTGCTTTGTTATGTATTTTTTTAAAATTGCAGTCTGTAAATATTATTGCTTTTAAGCTAATTGAAGGTTTGTGGCAATCCTGCATTGGAGCGAGCCTATCAGCATCATTTTTTTTCCAACAGTATGTGCTCACTTCATATTTCTGTGTCACATTCTGGTAATTTATACAGTGTTTTAAGCTTTTTCATGATACCTTACGGAGCTCTGGTGGTCTAGTAGATAGGGAGTTGCACTGCCAAACCAAAGGCAGGTGATGAGAATACACCAGCTGCTCCTTGGGAGAAATAGGAGGAATCTTCTCCTATACGATTTATAGCCTCTAAAAACCCAAAGGAAGGTCCACTGCAGATTGATTCCAGCTAGACAGCATATAACAGCAACAACTTTGTACGCTTAATAGATTGTAAACCAGAAAAAGCTAAAGAATCAAAACCATTGTCACTGAGTCAACTCTTACTCACAGCTACCCGCCATTGGGTTTCTGAGGCTATAAATTTTTACAAGAGAGGGTTGATCATCTTTTTCCCACAGAGCGACTGGTGGATTCAAACAATCAACCTTTTGGTAACAGCCTGGTATGCTAGGCACTAGGCCACCAGGGCTCCTTTAATAAAGTGTAGTATATATAATTGTAACTTTGATGTTCACTGAAAAACAAAAAAGTGCCTTGCTTTACAGATACTTTATTATGTCAGTTGAAACAGCATCTGCGAGAGCTCTACAGTTTCCTAATTATTTCCTACCTATTTGATTTTTTTTTTAAATTATGGGTCCACTGGAATTTACTTTTGAATAAGATCAAGGGAGAGACTAGTGACTGGATTTTGTATCTTTTTCTCAAATGAATAGGTAAGTAATCCAGCACCATTTATTGAATAGTTCAGTCTCAAGCTACTTACCATGTATCATATCCTGGGATACTCCTGGTGATAATCAGGCTCCGGGTTTTATGGTTTTAGAGAGATCCTCCAGAGGCAAATCCTCTCCTTCAAAACCTCTAAGTGACATAAGGACTGTTGTCTTACTGAGCAACCTCTGGAAGGGGTGTGTGTGTGTGTGTGTGTGTGTGTGTGTGTGTGTGTGTCTGTGTGTGTGTGTAAACATGGAAGGTGGTGTATATTGGCACTCATACACAGGCCTCTGTGTAACCAACCCTTTCAGGACATAACATAGTTTGACACACAGGAAACTTGGGAATCTTCATCCGGACAAGTTTAGTATCATGAGAATCTGGACGCTGGAAATCTTCCTTCTCCAAAATTAGTATATTTTCACCAGAGATAAGCAAATTGCAGAATATTGTACAATGTATGGTAGCTTAGTGGTAAAAGGCTGCACTTAATCACAAAGGAATGTGGGTCAAATTTTCTAGCTGCTCCACAAGAGAAGGATGAGAACTCTCTTTCCATTTGATTTATAACCCCTGAAAACCTGCTGGAAGGTGAATTCTGACTCAACAGCACACAACATCAAACAATGTGCACATAAATGTTACATGTCATACTTACTCACTATTCATTAGCATTGAGTCAGAACTGACTCATAGATAAACTTCCATGAGGCAAAGCAGCTGGTAGATTAAAAGTGTCAAAGAGGTGCAACCTCTCTACAGATTATGCTACCTTGTTATTGTTGAGTACCATTGAGTTGAAACTGATTCTAGCCTAATCCATAGCCTAAACCTAACCCTATCTTTAACCCTGACCCTAATCCTAACCTTAACCCTCCAGCATGTCTTCAGAGGTAGTAAATAGCACAGGAAGAGACTGTCTTTCACCCATTTAGCTGCTGGTGGATTCGAACTACATGCCTTTGCATTGGCAGCACAAAATTCTTTACTACTAAAACATTAGAGTTCCTTAATGCCACCATAGCTCTTCTATGTATGCTATAGCACTGTATATTGTTATATATGGCTTTGCATTTCCTAAAATATGCATAAGGAAGCTCTGTTAACCTAGTCTATAGAGAGTAGTGCTGCTAACCCAAAGATCATTCCTCTCTGGCAATTCAAATTCACTATT